AAAGAACAACAAACATGTCAGGTAAGAAAACACGCACTGAACACTCCTTGGAGGGGTGGTTGGTGAGGGTGGCTTGCTTCGTTCTGGACACAACATTAGGGGAAAAACTGCCAGGAAGGAGATGAGGAGATGAGCACTGGCAAAGCAGAGGGTCAATTACAGTGAGAGTTACCTTCACTTAAAAGGACTGACATCAAAGTCAACATGGACTCAAACATACCACCCACCATGCAGACGGGACGAGATGGGTAGCATTTTGTTCAGTTTTATAGATATATCATCAACAGGAATTGGAGTTCTGGTGGCCTAGTGGGTAGGGAGTTGTGCTGCAAGCCCAAAGGCATGTGGTTCAAACCCACCAGCTGCTCTGCAGGGGAAAGATGAGCAATTTCCTCGCTTATGATTTACAGCCTCTGAAAACGTGAGTCACTTCCAGCGCAGTGGTGAAAAACAATCACAATGAATGAATGACGTCTAAACCGTGACCGAGTTCTCACAGTCCTATACACGTGCCTGAGTTCTCAAGATCCAATGTTATGAGGCTATCTGTGTGTGTGGGGGGGGGTATGTGAGCGAGTGCACACATGTATGTGTGTGTGTAAAATACTAAAAACTCTGAATGTTGTGGTTTTGGGATTATGATAAATTTATGTATTAGTTAAAAGAAAATTAAAAATTTATTCAATATTGAGTCTTCTCTCCCAGGTTTATGTCTCTGTTCTTCAGGTACTCATATTTTCCCCTCTGTGTGTGTGATATTATTATTTATACACACACAAACACAGAGACCCTACTATATATAATATACACACACACACACATATATAGTATATACACATACTATATGTGTGCTTGTTTGTGTTTCACATTTCTATTGCTCACTGATGATACGAGAATAACTGTTACATATAAACCTTGATAGGAAACTGTTTTTACATATATCAAAAATCTGGTCATCTTAGTAAACTTACATTTGATCTAACATTTTCAGTTGGTCTATAGTCATACTACCCTGAATAGGCCTGAGAGAGGCTGTTTTCAATTGGCTTTGGCTTCAGGATCTCATCCTATATATGAATATGTACGAAAAGTGAACAGAGAAATAAGATCATGAAAGACACACAGAAATTGTTCTTTCCAGGAGGGGAGAGTGTGGGTGGCACTGAGAGATGGCTTTCATTTGTACTTCAGACACTTCACACATTGAATTAATGCAGTCTAATCTCTTTATCTTATTCAAATACAAACTAGCTAGCTCAATGATTATTTTAAAAGAATACTAAGAATATTCTTGGCTGATGTATATCTTTAACTTCATGGTAAATACTGCTTTGCTTAACTGTGAATAAATAATACACTGTTCTTTTCATTAAAAGTAAGAAAGCATGTGCAGAATTATTTCTAAATAGGGAGGGATGCTTTACCAGTAGAGATCAAAGCCCACCTGTTTTTTGTAAATTTTCAGCTGCTCTTCAAAGTGAGCACAGAAATAGGTAACAGTTTCCTTTTCACCTACAAAGAAGTAATAGAAAATAGATTTTTTTCTGACCATGCTCAAAACATAAATTAGTATTGATTCATCCTTACTTTTATACTGAAATAATTTATTGAAAGTTTAACTAAGATTGTCTTAAACAGAATTTTGAAGTGGGATGTGACACCAAAAATCTCTAATCTCATTTTTAAATCAGACTGAACTGAAAGTATTTCTGAAAGTGCAAACTGTAGATTTATGGCATTAAATATTTATAAGTGAAATATATATATAATCTACTCAGAAACTATTTCATACAGTTTATAACAAAAGAATAAAAATTCCTCCAAGAAAAAAAAAATTCCTCCAAGAAAGGATTTTAAAAAACTGAAGCTACTGAATTCTCAAAGAGTATAAATTAAGCTTTGAAAAAAAATATTTCACACAAATAAGATTCAACCTCATTCAACAATATAATATTATTTAAAAAGCTTAACAATCTTAGTGCTAAAGTTAAATAACTGGCAGAAATGAAACCTTACTATTTAAAACAAAAAGACTGAGAAACATTTCAATAAAAACATCTTAATCTACTTTTGGCAGATGCCAGCTTGTTAACGTAGTTCTGCCTCTACCAATAAGGGCTACATTCACACTTTTCAAAATTAAGCATTCACTAAGGTGTCTTTCAAAACAGTAGTAAGTGAAATTTGGGAAATAAACTATGTTTTGCACCATTACTGGGGAATTTCTGTTCATTGTTAAATTAATTCAAGGAGTAAGCAACTATGATATCTATAACTCAAGCACTTTCCACCAGAATTGGCATCATGAGATAGCTATTGTTTTGAATGAAAATGTTTATCAAAGTAAACTCATCAAGTACCTAGCTTTTCAAAAAAGACCCTTCTCCCTGAAGTTATCATTTAAAAAACAAGCTACTGACAAGCTTACTTTTGTCCAGCCGCGGTCTTGGGTTGTATCGATAGCCAACCTGGCTCCAGAACACAGGCACAGAGCCCCGTGTCTGAATAAATGACAGCGTGTGGTTGTGAACGTGGATCAGCTGCTCCGTCTCCACGTAATTTGCAACATTTCCATTTTTATCAACACCTCTTCGCTTATAACGCATTCCTGAAAGAAAATTGAAACAAAACAAAATTTAGTCTGACTAGTTGCTTCATAACCAAATACAGCTGCTCTGTACTTGACATGGTTAAGTTCCAAAGACCAGGTCGTTACATGAAAATGGAAGGTGACTGTAAAAAGGAGGAGGACTGCATCGTGACACAGCTGCCCAACACTCAGCATCACACAGTCACGCGGACACCTAACCTTGACCATCACAGTTAGCAGTACTCTCACACCTGGGCATTTATAACCGACACAGGTTATGTCCTTAATGAGCAAATGGTCAGCTAGTAGATTTTTTACTACTGCTGTAAACCCAAAATGTCAGTTAATAAGACAGCTGGTAAGTGAGGTGAGGGTGCATATGTACTTTAGCTTTGCTTGGGAGCCAATATGAAACTGACAGGCAGAAGACTACTGATCTGTCCCAAAACATAAATATAGGTGCCACTGATGTTAAAAAGGTGACACTGAGGAAGCCTAAGACTGAAAGAGAAGGGTTCCCAGAGGAACCAGCACCAGCCCCCTCGGCAGAGCACGCAGGAAGCCCCTTTCCCATGTGGAGCATGGGGTGATGGAGGGGGCTGTTCTGAGCACAGCCTACCCACACCTGGCTGGGTCCATGGCAACCAGTTGTCCCCAAAATGACTGATTCCTGGCAACCTAACGTGAGCCAGAATCTAGTCTGTGCTCTAGAGGATTTTCAATAACTAAGTGCCTCTGGGAGGACTTGAACCTCTAACCTTTCAGTTAATTGTGTGACCAGGGACCTCATGTGCTCCTCTGAACCCACAAGCAGACACCGGAAGCATTAGTATTTAGAAGCACATGCCAACCACCTTTCTCCTTTTCTCTCTTTTTGCTATTTCTTCCCTACTCCCTCCTTTCCAAAAATCAGTCTCCACCTGTATCATGGTATTTATAGTCACTCTGCTCTCTGAAGCACAGCGCACTTCAAACCATCACCGGCAGCACCTCCACACAGCTGCAGCCCCCCCTCACCTGGACCTGCTCCTCGCTCTCATCCCGGGGCTCACCTGCTCTGTGCCTGCTTCGGCGTGAAATGAGGGCCACGAGAAACCGCGGGTGGATGTCGTCGACACACGTGGACTCCTGAGGGGGCGTCTCTGGGCTGCTCCTCTCCTCGTCAGAGGCTTCGCTGTAATTAACCACGAGTTCTTCAATCTGCACAAAACCTTGGATGATGGGGATGATCCAGAAGCTCACATCTGGGGTCTGAAAATAATGTGGGTCATGCAGCCGCTGCTCTGCACAGGACGGCCGGTTCCCAGCCCCAGCCAATGCCCGCACGGCTCCCCAGACCCAGCCACTGCCTGCACGGCTCCCCAGACCCAGCCACTGCCCGCACGGCTCCCCAGACCCAGCCACTGCCCGCACGGTTCCCCAGACCCAGCCACTGTCCTCACAGAATCAGTGTATCAAAATAGAAAGCTGCCATTCCTTAACCTTGTTTTCTGCTTTTCAAGGAGAACATCACAGAAGGAAGGAAAAAGGGAGAAGGGAGCAATAAAAATGAAAAGTGAAGGACAGAAGAAGGGATGGGAAAGAAGAGAGGCACGGGGAAGGAGCTTGGGAAGGACAGGCCTTTTCTTTCGTTTTTGGTGGTAAATTTAAAAAGAACGGACTGAGAAGGGTAAAGCACAGGCGTGAGCCCGCCTGGTGCAGATTCGAGCTCCACCCTCATGAGCTCACTGAGGGGAACACTCAATGCGACTGTGCTTTGACTTCCTCCTCTGAGAAACAGGCGTAACTATTCCCCATGGGGAGCTCTGCTGGAGAAAGGTGAGGAGTCTCGTCCTGTGCAATGTGCAGCCGGTCAGAACCCACAGGAGGCTCGGCGAGGAGTCGGATCCAACTCGACAGCAATCAGTGAGCATTACTACCTCATACTTAACTCACGCTGAATTGTGCTCACGCAAACCTTTTTTTCCTTGAGTTGGTTCCAACTCAGTATTCCTGCAGGATAGAGTAGAACTGCCCTACGGAGTTTTCAAGGCTGTAAATCTTTCCAGAGGCTGACTCCCACATCGTTCTCCTGCAGAGCAGGTTAGAACTGCTGACTTTTCAGTCAGCATCTGAGGGGTTTTCACCATTGTGCTGAGAGGGCTCTGATCCAGCATAATTAGAGGGGTATTAAAGTTACAGACTTCCTTGTCTGTGTGTCAGACCATGAATATACAGGTTTCTTAAGTGTGTGTAGAAGCCACATAAAGATATAAAGCACTCTAGAGCTGTTCTCAGTCTTACTTTCTCTCCTTCTATCTCCATAGCTGTTATGTGGACTTAGTCACCATATCAATGTCAAGTCCATCTCCTCCTCCATCACCACAAACTCTAGGACCTGTTGAAAGGTATTATGGAGCCTGCGAACCAGATCTCAGGAAGGTGGCAAGAACTGAGAACAGTGAGATGAAGGCATTACCTGCATTCCTTATTCCTACCACAGGTCCCACTACCTATATATCTGTTCTAGCAGCAAATGGGATCCTAGACAGGAACACAGAAATAAACATTGCCAGATGCTACCTTTATCAGTGCCAAACAGAATGGGAACATGTTCTACTGAAAACGCCTCACACCATACTAGAACTTGATAGTGTGGGTGCCAGAGGACAGGCCTAACATGCACTGCAAAGTCCCATGTCGGTGAGCTCTGGAGGCCTAGTGGCAAGACGGTGTACTGTAATCCCAGAGGTGCACTGTTCAAATCCACCAGATGCTTTGCTGGAGAAGGAGGAATAATCTCCTCCTGTACCAGTCAGATCTGATGATTTGACGGTACACACACACACACACACAAAATAATAAAATAAAATAATTTTTTTTAAAAAGGCCCATGTCACTGTCTTTTCTACCCTGATGTTTGATGGTCAGAGTTTGGTCAGCATCATAAACAGAAGTGAGAACAATTTCATGTCTTGTTACAATACAGTGGGTAGTTTGCACTACATAAAGTAAAAATCATTTATAACGAACATCTCAGCACAGGTGTATAGGGAGAAACAAAAAGAAAGAAAAAGGTTCAGAACAGAATATTGGAAAAGTTATTTTTTAAAAAAAGCTAATGCATGGCCTTATGCAGCTATCAATGTGCTCTGTTTATTTCTCAGAATGGAAACATTCATTTGCTGCCACAGAGTCCGCTCTCACAGCGACTCTAGCTGGTTTCCGAGGCTGTAAATGGCCTGTGAATGGGAGGAATCTGCTCATCCTTCTTGCTTGGAATCACCGGATGACTGGAACTGCCAGGGACATGAAGCCTTTGGGCTACAAACCTCATCACCATCGCGGGCACATGAAAACCCACCCCCCGCCATCAAATACATTCTGACTCAGTGACACACTGTAGGCCACAGGACAGCCATCTGTCCACAGGTGTCCAGGGCTGTCACCTTTAGTGTCACATCTTTCTCTACCAGAGGGATTGGCTAGTGGTTTTGAAAATGCCAACCTTTTCAGTTAGCAGATGAAATCTCTAACCACTAAGTTACCAGAGCCCTAAACAGAGACACAAAAATCCTTCAAATATTTGATGAGTAAATGAATCAATGAGGCAACCATCCTTCTTGGACAGACTAAAGCAAGACCATAACCCTGGAAGTGGAAGGAGCAGCACACAATTCCTGCACTGTGTTCCCTCTCTTCCCTGAATCACATCTACAATTCTGCAACAGTCTTAGCGTCCTGGAATCTGTCTGTCCCAATTCCCTAGTGTCAATTATTATTATTAATATCAGAAATGTTTTCATTCTGAAAGGCAGATTTAAGAACAGCAGCAAACACAAAAGCATCAAGCAGTGTGAAGGACGTATAAATGGAAAGAAATAATGTCTTGAAATAGTAATATATTTTAATTTTTACATATTCACATTTCCTGGAAATTTCTCTTTTTTAAAAAAAAATTCCCATTCCTTAGTTTAAAGATCAGGAAATGCCAACCCAGTGAGGCTAGTTAGCGTCACTGAGGAACACGGGGCTTCACAGTTTCCACAGGTGCAAACAAAATACTTCCTCTGTAGGAATTCTGAGACGAGCACTTGCACAGTCTGATGTGACTAGTACCCTGGGGACCTGTGGAAATAGACAGGTTGTGGCTTTGCAGTGCGAATTGCCTTGAAAGACTGTCTAAGAATCCCTAACTGACATCATTCTACAGGCGGCAAACAGATTTTTATTTTAACACAGATGAAGACGTGCTTAACTACAATTCAAGATATGTTAACAACTACTCACACCAATCGCAGTGAGATCCTGTATCATGTATTTATTCCAGAAAAATCTGTCATCAACCTGGAGAGAGAGAAGAGAACACACAGTTCAGAAACAGCCTGCTCTGTTTTCTATGAAAGCCAGTGGGTGCAGGCATCATCCTGAAGGCAAGTCTACTCCGAGCCCAGCACTACCTTCTGCCAGAGGGGCCGGCTGTCTCCCTCTCCGGAGCTCTGTCTTTGCACCGAGTTGGTCAGGTCATACGTCAAGCTATAGTAAAAGGATTCTGAGTCCATGAACATCTTTAGCAATTCTTCAAGTAATCTCCTCTCCAACTTCTCCTTTTCTTTACTTTCTTTGACCTGTAAGAAATGCCATCTGTCATTATTACAGGAATCATACGTATTCTGTGGCTTACCCTCCCCAGCTTCTCAGGAGAGAACTGAAGGCCTTTCTTTCATAAAGGGTCTAGAAACCAAATTCTTAAGTAGGAAAATTACTCTCAGATTTCAAAATACTAAAAAATTCACCCAAAGTCATGCTAACTAAACTCTTACCTTCTTTTTATTAGGTGCAGACACGTTGGATTTAATATGGGTAAAAGTCTTCAGTAGAAACTTTGAGTCATCAGGAGATGGGATAATCTTCTCTGGTTTGTTAATTCCAAAATGATGCTTCTTACAGAGCTAAAAAATAAGAGAGAGATGATAGATTAGCAATAATAAGCATTTGCTTATTGAATATTCAAATATGAGTGCAGAAGAGAATGCTATCCCTCAAACATTTCTGTTACAAGGAAGGCTCAGGAGAGAATAAAATGAAATGCTAATAAGAATCACAGTATTTCCAATGACTAGAAAGCTACAGAAGAGGTAAAGACACCAAAAGTAACAGGGCAGGATACAGTCAGGATTGAAGATGAAGAGTTCAGGTTAGGCTATAGTAAATCCATGCCCAATACAGCAGAAAAAGAAAATGCTCTGAGAAAAAGTTAAAATTTAAAAAATCTGATGTCTTATCATGGGCTGAAAGGTGTCCTGCCCAAAAATTAGTTGTAAAAGAATTAAAAATTTATAGCAACACTCATAATACCACAGTCATGAGAGTGTAGCCTATAACACCTTTGTCTCACAAGAGACAAAAGGGAAGGAAGTTAGGGAGCTCTGGTGGCCTAGTGGCAAGAAGCTGCACTGCAATCCCAGAGGCATACGTTTCAAATCCACCAGATGCTCTGCTGGAGGAGAGGTAATCTCCTCCTGTAACAGTCAGATCCAATTTGACGGTACACACACAAAATAACAAAATTTTTAAAAAGGTGGGAGAAGGAAGTGAGCTGATGGGAGAATCTCAGAACCACCAAGGAAGAAGTGTCGTGCCAGGAGCAGGGGTATCCTTCTGCCCTCAAGGTTCTGTGCTAGGAAGCTCCAGAGAGAGCTGGGCCCACGGCTGCTGAAGGCAACCAGGACTTTCCTTCTGAACTGACAGAGAAAAGCCTTTCCCTTAGAGCTGACACCTTGAATGTAAATGTCTATCTTCCTTAACTGCAAGGTGATAATTTTCTGTTTGTTAAAGATGCACCTGTGGTCTCAGTTACAGCAGCACTAAGTTAGTACCTATTATTTTAAAAATTGCAAAATACTCCTGAGCCATGTGTTCTGTCTCAGGGCTGTTGTTTCACAGTTATCTTGTGCTAAAGTTTCTGTTGAGACGTCTTTAATCATCTCTGCTGGGAATCTTAAAACTAGATACATTAACCATTCTCTGTGCTCCTGTTCTCCAATGAGATAAACACAGTGCTGTACTCTTGGGTTCAGAGACATGGCTACATTTGAAGAAGCAGTAAGAAGGGGCTATAGGAAATGCATACACTGTCCCAATGAAGTGGGGGCAAAAGGGGAGAGAGAAGAGGTACATGACGTTGTCAAGACACAGAGCTTCTAAAGCAGGCTCATTAAAGGCAAGGGTTTCATATACAACTTCATGTGCTCTCCACATAAACCAAGTATTTATAAATGTACACAAGAATTCTCTTAACTGTATGCAGATGAGTTCCATTTTCAACACACTAGTTTTACAGTTCCACCGACTGGTGGCCTCTCATTAACAAGAGTTAATACTCAGTAACTACTAATTATTGTATCTTACTTAGAGAATAACTATTAACAGATGAAAAACAGAATGGAATAAAAACAAGACAAGGAGAAAAAACCCTCAAGCTTTCTTTAGAAATGTAAAGACAGGCTGACTAGTCCAGTTTAATACGTCTTGGAAATGGAAAATGGTGACGTAGGCTATTTTCAGATGTAACCACAGAGCTGCCAACTGATTTAATGCCTCTGTCAAAATGAGGACTGTGAAAAACTCGATTCACTCGAGTTCACGTGAGTCTTACTACACAACTACAACTTTACACTGCTCCTGCCCTCCTGTTAAAGACAAGGAAACTAAACGCAAGTAAGGTAAGGGAGAAGAGACGGAAACCCCTGCCTGAACCGAACTCAGTTTCCCTTCCATCAGGTTCACAGGAAAGGGGAGTTCACTTTGTTGAATTCTGCATTTTTTTTTATCAGACGGTACCTTGGACCAAGAAGAACTCTTCTGACATTGCGACACGCTTTACAGATGACCCTAACCCAGACTACGGCTGTCAGGTTGGTTCTAACTGATGTGCAGCGCCCACCGCAGGGTTTCTGAGGCTGGAGAGAAATCTTCACGAGAGGAGACTGCTCATCTTTCTACTTCAGAGCAATCTGAACTGTCAACTTTTGGGAGTGTAGCCCAGTACACTGCGCACTGTATCACGGTGGTTCCTTTAACAGCCTACAGGACAGTGTAAACATGGCTTTTACAGACACTGTAAAACAAATGCATGTGACTTGCTTTCTTGTCGTGGTTTAGAACCAAACTGGACTGGAGGCGGGGTAGAAAAACGAAAATAAAAAAAAGAACCAAACCGGAAGTGTCCGAGGTGTGCCTGGAGACACTGCTCCCCCGCCAGCCAGCCAAGCAGTCAGCACAAAAATACAAGTGTGGGCCAGCGTGTCATGTGAGTCAAGGACGCAGACCTGGGACATCGTCAGTCTGCTCCTTTCTTGGTCCCATGTCAGAGAGGCAGGTCCTGACAAGCTTCCCTTTCGGGGGGCCTGACTGCTGTGCTTGAAGCAAGCCACTGTCGGTTAGCAAATTTACACAGAATCTTAGCAATTATCTCGACATATTAATAATACTTGGTTTAGAAAAAAAAATCTGAAGACATGCCCGAACTGAGTTATGGACTGCTGCAATTTCAGTATTCAAAACAGGATATTATGCATTTGTCAGACATAATTATTCCTCAAAAGCATTCAAGTCAGCAAAATTTCTCCCCAGGGCTGAATTGAAGACTAGTGTAAAGACGTAACTATCGTGCAGTGACACTCAGCAGCGTGCCTATTCTACACCCACCCTTCCCCTCGCTTCCCAGCTAACAGCCGGCTCTGTCTCCTACAGGATCTGGGGTTTGCCTCACCTTCCCCCGTCCCCTCCTTCCAGATGCTCACTCTAATGCCACCTTCTCTGCCACCTCTAACATGTTAGGTATGGTTGAAACTCTCCCCCGCTTCTTCCTGAAATCCATTCCTCAATCCTGGAGTTCCAGCTGTGAGTCAGCAGGGTTCCAAAAACACACAACTGGCACAGACACTGGGGCCACAAGGAGTCTGACAGGGGTAGGGCGAAGAGTTAAGGCTCCAATGAACTGTTGGGGCCAGTGACCTCCTCAATCATGAAAAGGACAAACCTTTCCTCTCTTCTGCACGTTGCCCTTTCCCTGACTCCTCTTCCTCCAGTCCTGGGGACACCGTAGCTCAAGGGCTCTTTCTCACCTCCAGCTCTTCCTTCTTGGGCTCCTTTGCTGGTGCCTCACTCTGTCCCTCAGGTATTGGTGTTTCCTATGCTCTATCCTAAGCTCTCTGCTCATTCTTTGTGCTCTAAAAACTTTATTCCTCTTTTACTATCTCAACTCCTCCTCTATTTGCTGACTCATTCTTTTATCTGGCTTTCATAGCTGCCATCTCCCCATCACTTAGACTAGTCAACATCTGCTTTTCGAGTCCCCTCCTTGTCAGGTACTGGCTGGATGGGATCACTTAGACAAGCTCTTGACCTCACCCTCCATTATTCTCCACCTAGATGAGGGCCTTCCTCTCCTTGCCAACCCTCCACCCTTCCCAGCATCATGTTCCCCTCCAAGGAATAACCCCTCCTAGCAAACATGCTCCAAATATGTGAGGCGAAGCCTCATCATTCCTGCCTCCAAAGAGCTCTCTGGCTGCACCCTCTCCAAGACAGATCTATGTGTTCTTTTGGCCATCCATGAGACGTTCATTGCTTTTCTCCACTACCACAGCTCAAAGGCATCAATTTTTCTGTCATCCTTATTCACTGTCCAGCTCTCAGAGGCAAATGGCCTGAATCAGACACAACTTAGTCCTCATACTGACATCATTACTCCTCAATAATTTGGAGAGGTTCCTAACTGCAGATTTTCCATCTCCTTAATTCTTGACTGCTGTTACCAAGGGTGTTAAATTACTTTAGACATACATCCTTTCAAAGAATATTTCAGAATCTTCTACATAGCTACCTTTAGAAAACACAGAGCAGACCTTTTCCTTCTTTTTAAAAAAACAATCAAAATCAGCTGAGGTTTGATGCCACAAGTGGGTGACAATGCTTTAGCACATACGTGTGTGTGTGTGTGAGAGAGAGAGAGTTTTCTAAGGCCTGAGGGTCTTTTCCATTTCTGCTGGAGTACTAACCTTCTCTCCTTTCACACAATACACTATTCTCCTTCTGAAAGGGGTACCTTCTGTCCTTGTTAAGACCGGAACAGAGGAAATTCCATCTTGGGATCCCACCCAGTGCTACAATGTTGTGTTTAAACAGAGCCACTGGGATTACAATGTAAAGCACTGACAGTGGGATCACATTTCCTCGTCCAGAGGCCCAGGAAGTTCTGGATAGAACCTGCTGAGGGCCTTACTGAAACTCTGATACCCCTGAGTGTAAGAGAAACCCAGTGCTCCCCCCAAGTACTCTTCTACTTCTTCTACTGTTCTTGAAACTTGTATTTCTCAGTCAAGATTACAGACTGCTGCTGCTGTTCAAAAAAGGAAAAGAAATGGTTTTACTTTAAATGTTCCTATCTAGCCATATCCATCTGGAACTGAAATTTTAAACAGATGTCTAATGGGAAACTAAATATGGAAAATGATGTGGTTATCTATTAAGGCAAGGAGATAAAGCAAATAAGATATGCAGACATGGAATATAAACTTATAAAACTTTAAAGGGTGTTTTTACAAAGGAAAGAACATCTATGTTCTTGTTTATTTGAATCTCACAGATTCCTCATTCCAAGTCATTTTAAAAGACCAGCAAAATGGTTTGGGGGGGTTCTTCTAATGGTCAACCAAAACTCTGTGACCCTCAGATGAGACAAAAAACGAGGCTGGGGCCCTGGCTACACTACTGATTGCTCTGAACTGACCAACTTATACACTGGATGCAAATCTCAATAGATCACAAAAAAGTCCTGGCAAGAACGGGAGGGGAAATGTGGAACAAAATGCAAAATGATAAAAATTACCAACCTGACAGCTATGAGAACTTGGTGGAACCCCCTGGAACGTGGTCCTCAGCCACC